AAAGTTTAAATTGTTTATTACAAACTTGGAAAACAAGTAAGACAATTACTGCGGAATAAAAGAAACTGGTATAAAATCTCTGGCCGTCCAATTACTCGGTCCACCGTTGGTAGTCGGGTAGATCCAACTGTCAATATAATAATCTTTCTCACTGTCTTCAATAGCGTTGACCCCGCGATTGCTGATGTGTAGGGGAGGTCCTCCAGCCCGAGCGCGTCGAACAGCCCTTTGAGCTCCTGAAGTAAAGCCTAAACCAAATTTGTCAGTTTTGTGAGTAAAATCAGGGAGTTGTCCCCAGTTGGTACACCCACCTTCTTCAACTGCTGCTCTGGCGTCATTGAGAGAAGCCATCTTCAGAGGAGGTTTGGTGCTGGTAGTAATATCGGTTGACGCCAAAATCTGGGGAACCTCTTCAATGTTTTGATAAGGAGTCTCTATGAATTCCCCTTCCATCTCCACATACCTGAAGGAGTTCAGGTGGCTCACCATATACTCCTCTTCACCGTGCACAGTGACGATTTTCCCCTTCACCGAATATTTCAGCATCTCGTGCAATGTAGAAGTAACAGCCCCGACTTCATGGATCCAAGGACGACCCAATAAACAAGAGTACGATGGCCTGATGTCCATCATGTAGAAGGTGGACCCAAAGGTTTGAGAGCCCACTTTTACAGGGATGTTCACCTCCCCATGCACCATTCTCTTCGACCCTTCAAAAGCCCTCACCACAATGTTACTGGGCTTTAGGGTCAAGCCTTCACAATCTAACCGATCGAGAGCCTTCTTAGGCAGAACATTCAGTGAAGATCCAGTGTCCACCAACACATGAGCCATGGTGGTTCCCCTGCATTCAATCGATACATGCAGAGCATCATTATGCTTTCTCCCCTTCGGTGTCAAGTCGACATCTAAAAAACCCAACCCATTGTAAGCAGTCAAATTAGCCATGTAGTCTTTGAATTGATAGGCGGAGGTTTCTTGCGGCACATGTGCAGTCTTGAGGAACGCAATCAAATCCTTCGCATGGGCCTCGGAACATAACAACAGAGACAACATTGATATCTTCGACGGGGCCTGCCGCAACTGCTCGACCATATTGTAGTCGCTCTTTTTGATTATTTTGAAGATTTCCTCTATCTCTTGCTTAGAGGATTCCACAACAACTTTTCTAGGTGCCTCCGTCTGGGAAGGCTCACTTACAGCTTCTTTGCCCCGAGTCCCAGATGACTCAGCGGCAGGAGTAACAATTGGAGTAAGAACTGGAGTAGTAACAGAAGTACGGGTAGGAACAGCAGATGAAATAACAACAGGCTTAGTGACAGTCTTTGGGGAGATCTCAGGAGAGAAAACCCTTCCACTTCTAGTAATCTTGCTGGTCTCGACAATGTTACTGACATCTGGATCATCTTCTTCAGTCTTCAAATCTTGTTTAACATCATGATAGTAAACATCGGCGCCATAATTCCAAGGGACAGCTTTGTCCGAGGAGTACGGTATGGGACCAGGAAAAGTGATTATCAGCGGGGCGATTCTTGGAGCAGGTGTAATCCTAACAGGTCTTTTAGAGGATACCTTGGAAGGATTGGCGGAAATGGTTATAATGGCAATATCTTCACACTGAATAATCAAAATCAAAGTCTTTTCGAACAAAATTTCTCTGTTGTCCATCAGGCGTTGAACACCTGCTTTCAGCAAATAGCAACCAGAGGACAGAGATGAACACATGTGGCAACCTTCACCACAGCCCAAAAATAAACTGTCCAACAACAAATTCTTCTTAACAATCATAATAGGAGTAGAAACTTCATTAACAGAGGTAACAAACAGATCAATATCAATGGCATTAACTCCACGGTTGTGCTTAGGCATGGGAGCGGTTATGGCATTGGGCTTATCCAGAGCATCAAACTAAATCTCCTTGGCTTCAATCAGATCTTGTACTTTATTTCTCAGAGCCCAACAATCATCTGTATCATGGCCATGACTCTCAGAATGGTATGCACACCGAACGTTTGGATTGTACCGAGGAGATGTGGTGTTAGTATTCTTGGGATCCTCTTTCAAGGTTGCCAAGTTGGACCTTAGCAAATGGGGTAGAACCTCAGTCAATGTCATGTTAATCTGAGTAAACTGCCTTTGCGGTCTTTCTACCCTTTGTTGATTGTTTCATGGTGGAGTAGCCGCGGGCCTAGGTATCATTACAGCACCTACCGTTGGACGGTGTTCAGCTCTGTTCTGACCTCTTGGACTATAAATGGCATTGACCTCCTTCTTACCTGTGAAGGGATTCTTCACTGAACTTGAAGAGGTGTCTTTCTGGATCTTGCCACTCCGGATCCCAGCTTCTACCCTCTCTCCTGTTAATATCAGCTCGGTGAAACCAGCTGAGGAGCTACCAATCAAATGATTGAAGAATGGACCAGATAGCGTCCCAAGAAACATGCCAACCAACTCCCTATCAGACAAAGGGGGTTGGACTCTCACAGCCAAATCTCTCCACTTCTATGCATAGTCCTTAAAGCCTTCACCTGCACCCATGGACATACTCTAGAGTTGAGTACTAGTAAGGGCAAGGTCAGTGTTATATTGATACTGCTTATAAAAATCAGTAGCCAAATCCTCCCAGTTACGGACATTGGTTCCCTCCAGTTGATAGAACCATTCAAGCTGAGTCCCAGACAAACTGTCTTGAAAGAAGTGAACCCACAAGTTCCTATCAGCAATGTGAGGCTGAATCTTCCTCACATAGGAACAGAGATGAAGCTTGAGACAAGACACCCCATCATACTTCGAGAAAACATGAGCTTTAAACTTCTGTGGGATGACTACCACAAACACAAATCCCAGCTCTTCAAAATCTAACCCTGTTATTCTCTGGATCTCCATAGCGCTCAATCTATCCTCTAACTGCTTGTATCTATCCTCAGTGGGAGGATACCTGTGATACTGTGGGAGAACTGACTTGAGGTTTTGCGTTTGTGTTTGCAAATGTTGCAATTTAGCAAGAGTCGCCACCGAATTTTCTTTTATCCGATAAGGAAAGGTGAAAAAGCACAGGAAAGACCTTTAGAGATGTTTTCTTGAGTTCGGGGGGTAGATTATGAAAAGGGAATGTATTAGCACCCTTTTCATCCATGGTTTTCCATGGGCTCTTAGTTACTCGCTAGATCACTTGCTTTTGTTTTGAAATGTGCTTTGTGACGTGGGTTTTGAATATATTTTGAAAAGGCGCCATCGTTTAGGCAAACTTTTGTAATGATTCTCGTTCGTAAGAATGTATACAAAGATGTTGAGCTTTTGAAAATATTTCACATCACTACAAGAAAATTGGCAGATTGCGACAGGTATTTTTGTAGATTACGACGGTTAAAACCGTCGCAATTTGCTTTCCACGACGGTTGCTTTACCGTCGCAGAAGTGTGTGTCCCCAACCTATTTCGCGACGGTTACAAAAACTGTCGTTCTAGTTTACGACGGGTTGATACCGTCGTGACTATCTTTTGAGTTTCTTTTAATTATTAATGGCGACGGTTCGATACTGTCGTGAATATCTTGTGAAATTGATTAAATTGTTTATGGCGACGGTTCGATACCGTCATGACTTTTGTTGATTATTTTTAATTGTTGATTACGACGGTTCGGTACTGTCGCCATGACTTTTGTTTATGTCTTGATTTTTTTTTATTTTTCTATTATATATATTTTTTATTTAAATTATTATCTATGTAAAAAATTTTAAATATAGTTTTTTTTTGTGTTATTTTTTTCTTTAATATATTTATTTATAGTATTATTTTTTGTTTTATTTTCTATCACTTTGTAATATAGTAAAAATAATTTCAATAAAAAATATTTAACATCAAATAAGCATTATAATATCCAAAAAAATGTGTTCCATAATCATGTAAAATGCGAGTTCCATAATCATGTCAAGTAGTACACAAAATCCAAAATATATCAATTCCTAATCTTATAATAATAAGTATCATTATGCCAAAAATACATGAGAAAGTTCACAATCTAATTATCTCGATCATAGCAAAGTCTAATTTGTCCCCCCTAAAGTTCCATTATCTCCAATACGGTAGCTAGACTCAGATGAACGTCTACCATCAGCGGGTGATTCCAATCCCTAAAAAAAGGTATTAAAATAATAATCTTTAAAATAATACTCATAAAATTTAACTTTAAATGCGTCAAAATAAAGTACCTGTCTTCCACTAAAATTCTGCATTTGCATTAAGAGTTCAATTTCCTTTGTCCTCGCCTTGTCCCTTTGCGTTAAGAATGTGATTGCCTGTGTTAGGATTTTAAAGTGCTTTTGCGGTCCCGTATGAATGCGATTGCAAACATTGCAATTTTGGTTATTACAATTGCTTATAAGAATAATGTATTTGTAAAGGCACACTCAAATTTAAGATAAAATTCTTATAAGATAAAATTCTTTAGTCTAACACTATTAAACAGTGATATAGTAAAGGCACACTCAAATTTAAGAATGAAATCATACCTCAAAGACGCACGAGGGTTTGAAGAGCAGCGAAGCAAGTGGAAGAGAAAAGTTACCTGCAACAAAAACCAAAGCAGCATATCAATAGTTGGTAGAAATCATAGATTTATCAAATAGAAATCTTATATTTTTCAACAGCTCATATCCCTTTAAATCCAACAAAAACATTATTATTTTCATTCTAGTGCAGAAGACACTTCATGTTTCAGATGCATGAAGGGGTGCAACTCAGTTTCTTGAGAAGAAGGGGTTCACTCAATTTACTCCTCACTTTATAACTTGGTACTGCCCTAATGATTTTCTCTTAAGCAATCAATGCAAGTCTCAGTGTATAAACAACGGCCGGTACTGTGCTCCAGACCCTCAATAGCATCTATGATATAATTTAACAGAATTCCAGATTACTAGATCTGTTTTGTATTATTTATAAACTGTCAATGTTTTTCATATGCTCTAGCTTATGTAAACATTTTTCTACCACATGTTAATTTTAGACCCTACCAACAGGAGAAACTGGTGGATTAGAAACATAACTTGTAGGAATATCTTCTAATTTACCAAAAGCCTTTAGTTCCTCGGTTTGCGACTTTCTTGTTCCAGAAAGCTCACATGGCATCTTGCTATCAACTAATGCAATGCAAATGGCGAATGCTTGCAAAAGTGAGAGCGACGAGTCAAAGGCTACAGAACTCATACCATTTTCTAAGGGGTTAAGCTGAATGCTGGGCACGGATCGTGTTTGTTCCCCTGTGGTTAGCAAGAAAAGAGATGCACCAAAATTACTAATCTTAGTAATATGTAATAGCGTATGCAAAATATGTTTCATGAACAAAATGTACCTGAACAAAAAGATCGAATTGATAATCTGCAAAATAAGGTTTGGATGACAGTGGTTTTCTACTGGCTTGATTGTCAGTAGCAATAATTTTAAGTTTGCAAGCCAAATCCCAACCGCCGCAGTCACATGATCCACCGGATTTCCACCGCTCAAGTAGTGGTGAAGGTCCGCCTTTACTTGGAAAACTATGAACCCCGCCTGGGAGCACAACCGTTGCATGGACAATGTCATGACTATCACTGTGGCAACTGCTATGATGTTGATTGTTAATGAAACTGATAGCTTTAGGTATTTTGACGGCAATAGCAGCAAGCTCGTCTTTTGGCTGATAGTCGGCGTCCTGAGCATCACTTTGCCCGAGCTTTACAGAAAATAAAACAAACTCTTTCACGGTAGAGGAGTCCATACAATTCTGGCCGGTTAAATCATAATAATGCAAATAAGAAGCCTTCATTTGAGCCACAACATGGGGAACGTAATCAGGTTCTTTGCTTCTGCCTGCTTTACTCATCCAACTTCCATTCTTCTTCTTAACCTCGCTAAAGGTTAAAAAGGTATAGATGCGGTTGCATTCGTCTTTTCCAGAGTCGCCTAAGTTCTTCACTTTGGCTGCAAGAATGTTACCGTCAATTTGGTTAACAACAAATGTAAAAAGAGGTAGACCGTTCTTCACAGCAATTCTCAAAAGAGCTTCTGGAAGGTAGTGGGGGAAGATGCGCTGCTTTCTCAGGTGCTTCTGGAAGATCTAATTCCAAATGACCAAGTGGCCGCAAGAAAGAGTTCTCCTGAAATCATAAATAGTAATTGTTCAGATTGCTTTTCCTATTACGGGGAGAGGGGAAACTAACCAAATTAAGTAGTGCAAGATACCATGACAGCATCACCAACAGTCAACTCAAAATCATATCTGCCCGAGAGATAATAAAATTTGTCCACCAAGCCAAGAAAATCCTAAAAGACAAAATTATGAATTTTAACAGAACAATAACTATATATTAATAGTAGATGAGAATGAAATGATCATACAGTCTTCGCCAAAACATACAGGTGACAAAATTATAAGCCCCCAAACCCAGTCCAGCTTAAATGCAATTAGGGAATGCTGATTCATATTTAATTGTGCATATCTAGAACGGGGTGTAAAGAAATTGACAAACACAAACAAATACCTCCACAGCAGGAACTTTGGATTCACCAGCTGACATTACACTGGAAGTAATGGCTATTTTTTCCCCTGACTCTTGAGCTATTTTCATAGGAAATTTACTGACATTATCAAGCTTCTGTCTAAGCCTTTCAACATAATTATTTTGCTCTTGAAACTCTCTTTTAGCCTTATTACATTCATTCTGTAAATTAACAAATATCAATGAGTGGTAACTCAAGGCAAAGAAATTTAGAATTCGACTCTAGTTTGCCTTCAAACCTATGAAACACCGATTCAGACACAAAACATGACACTAACACATAGCCACCCATAACAAGTAACCGCATATTTCAGAGTCATGTATGTGGCATCGGACACTTGCAAGGTCACACCTTCAATCAAAGGTGTTCAAAAACTATATACTTAAAATTGACAAGGTTGCAATCATGTAAATTATATACCTGTAGCATATGTATAATTTCTTCTTGTTTTTTCCTTTCTGCCACTTGTGTTTCAACTGAGATCTGCATGGTTTACCACCCTACATGATTAGTATTAAATTAAGGCACTCATTTGAAATGAGATGCAATGAAAGTAGCCTCAACCTGTAAACAATGTATCCTTTGAAATAAATTAGTAACCAATTGACGAGCTTGTTTCTCAGCATTTGATATCAATTCATTTTCATGCTTCAAAATAAACAACTGAAAAAGCACAACAAAGAAAAATTAGAATAGTCCATAATCTCCTTTAAATTTTGAAATCTCTTGCAACTAATAATTACCTGATGTTCATTTTCTTTCTTGAATCTGTAAAGTCTATCAGCAGAATATTTTGCTCTAACTTCCCAATAGTTATTCTTTGATTGCAGTGATATATTTTCACTTCTGAAAAAACCATCAAACATTTTTACATTGTTACTCGTTACAAATATCAACAACTCCACGAGCCTATTCAATGTAATCAATTATAACTGTATACCTGATCATTTCTAATTCTTGTTTTAGGTTTCTCAATTGTTCTTCAACTTCATCGACTTTGTTGCTTGCTTCCTGCATGGCAACACAAGTTAAAGCAAGAACTAAATATTTCTTTAGTTACAGTTCCATATGTTTAATCATACCTGAGAACTTAGAATCAGAGCCTTGGTGTTAGTGTTTTCTTCTGCATCAACCATAATATAAGTATTATTATGATTTAGGTTCGCAAATTATACAAAAGGTATAGGTGATAAATACTAAATTGTGTATAAGAGACCTGAATAAAACCAGAACATACATGCCTTTTCCACTTTAAGTTCACTTGATTTCTAATATTCAGAATGTAGCAGTTATGAACTAAAACAGATTATCCTGACTTCAGCATCGTGTAATAGCTATTAATTATGAATTGTAACAAACTCAATAAGTACTCGAGAATAGACATGTTAATCTAGACAATGAAATATAAAATAGGAGATACTTAACGAGAATAATCTCGAACTTCTTGCCGGTATTTCTGACCACAAAGATGTGTTCATACTTTGTCTCATGCTTCAACTTAAGCAATGCCTGAAGAAGAATAAATGTTTAATAAAGAAGAGACCAATGAAATGACATTCATTTAAAAGGTCTAATGCAACTACTACAAACCTGGCGAGGCTTAAAGGTATGGCCATGAGGCGTTATCAACTGAAAAGAAAAACGCAACTTTTGAAGATGGTTAGCTGAGAGTGAAACAACATCAGTTCCAGCCAAATCTAGCCTACACAGAAACACAAAATAAAGATTTAAATTGAAGTGAAGAAATAAACATAATTAATAGAATTGCTAACAAAAACGCAAAACCAAGATTTAAATGTATATATGTGTTCAGCTCGAACTTCAAACACTGCATAAAAATGACAAACATATGACAATGAGACATACTAATTGATGATTAAGTACACTGATCCTGAATATAATTGCAGAGATGTTTTCAAACCAGTAATTGAAACCTTACGTTTTCTGGGTTTCATCACTTCCAAGATCACTGCCAAGAACTGCAATTTCTGCGTTGCTAACTTTAACAATGCCAGTGACATATATCGGCACGTGAATTTGGCCTCCAATAGCATAATCATTTTCACTACCTGAATCATGAAGCGCTGTCTACAAAATAGGCTTAAAACGTTATAACTAACAAGCAGATACAAATAAATACACCTTGGTGTAATGAAAGGAAAAATAATCACTAAATAAACATAATACCTCAAAAACAAACACATATGTTCCCACATCCACATTATCTGGGAAGCCCATGACATGAAGTCCACTACTTTGATCGTACTGGAGTTCCTGTAGAACACAATAAGGGAGGTATATTCAAACAATTGAAAGTAGAACAGACCAGAGATAATAAAGAATCCCATAAACTAAATTACTCTACGACATCCACTTCTAAAAATAATCATTGACTCATCACTCACCTTGCCCTCGATAACAGCAGAATGTTTAGCATCAGCGTGGAAAGCTCTGACAAGCTTAACTGTAAGAGGTGGTGCGGCTGAACCAAGTACTGTATTCACTGTAACCTGTTTAATTTTGAAATAGAAATCTGTCATTTTCCGAAGTGAAAAGCTGTACATTCATTAAAAAAAACTTAAGATTTATTAATGCAGCCAACTGATTCATGTGATGCTAATATAGTATTGCATGTATAAGAATCAACAAGTGAGAAATGGGGGAAGAGTTTATTAAGCTCCACAACTGAATAAAAAACAATGGCGCATAGGAGAGTGTGAGATGAAGAATTTAAAAGGAGACTGAAAATGACAGAACCAAAAATAACTGGTAGCATCATGTGAAAGAAAGCCTAACTGGAACTCAGAACTGTATCAGTAATCTTTAATATATTTGAGTCAACCAACATATTTTTGACAGAAAAAGTGATAAAAACATAATCTTATGAGGTGGTTGAGGAGCCAAAACAGAAAACCAGTGTGAACCATCAACTAATCGTTTCACTCCCAAAATAAAGACTTTAGAAACTTTAACTTCATTACTTACCTTGAGCTGATCTTTTTTGGACAATGAATAAACTGTTGCAGGAAGTGACAACACTAATGGGACGGGAACCCTACACCAGAACAAGAAATCCGAGGCATTTTTGTTACTGAATATTATTAAGATATCAAGATATGTGCAAAGAAGAAACAAGAGGGAAAAAAGGACACCACTATAAAGCTGTACTAAAATTATAAATTCTTTTCCTGAAAAGCACTTGCCTTTTGCTCTCCAGAAGAGCTAATGATTCAATTTGATTGAAGAAGTCCTTGGCACTTCCTGGAAGAGGAACCATCGACCTTGAAGAGGAACCATCGAAGAGTTGTAAAGCAGCGGAACGGTGAGAATCGGAAATCGGACTTGGATTCGTGACGGCGTTGCAGATCGAAATAGTGAAAAACAGTATGAGAAATTTGGCTAGGTTTATGGCCATTTCTGCAGCTATGAATCTATGAATGCAAATCGCATTTACGATAGGTTAGGGATTTGAGAAATGAGATCGAGATACGCGAAGAAACGACTTGTGCGAGTGAGTCTGTGTGTTTTTGGTGCAACTGAACTAGTATCATCACTGGCTCTTGATCATCTAGCCATCTTTTCAAACAACGAATCGCCGCCAGTCGCTGCCGTCACGGTGCTTCCGGATTCTCTGAACGCAGGAGTAGAAAGTGAATGGATGTTTTATGAGATTTTTAACTTTTTTACGGCGACGGGTGTTTTACCGTCGTGCCCATGAAAATTTTTAAAGGTTTTGGATGCGACGGTTGTTTTACCGTCGTGAAATGAATTTTAGGACGGATAATTTTACCGTCGTGAAAGGTTTAAGGGTGCGACGGGTGCTTTACCGTCGTGATATGCCTTTTAGGACGGTTAATTTTACCGTCGTGACTAGTTGTTGGTGAAAAATCAATGTTAAAAGTGTTAAATGGGGGCCGACGGTTGTTTTACCGTCGTAATAATAATATTATGATGGTTAAATATACCGTCGCAAAATAAATATTAGGGACGGTTGGTGTCAACTGTCGTAAACACTGTCTCTATATGTCAATTACGACAGTTATCACATAACTGTCGCAATTTTTGTGTCGTTAAACACTAATTTTCTTGTAGTGCATTTTGGAAAGTGTTTTGAAAGTATTTTGAAGGTGTATGTGATTGTTTTCGAAAATAGCAAGGATGTTTGTTTTGAAACTGATCAAGCAACTAAAAGTAATCTACCTACTCAAAAGGTCTTAGGTGTTCTTTTCCTCCTCCTTTAGATGTTGCTATCTTACCATTGATTTGATAAGAATCCCCATCATTGGATGTGAAGGGATGGGCATTGGTTCATCGTATGACCATGATAGCAATGTTGTAAGATGACTTAGCACTTTTCTTTTAGGGACTAAGATAATTTTGAAAGGCAACTTTGATAGCATCATCGATGGACTATGATCTTGTATTCTTGATTTTGTTTGTGCTAAGACATCCCACATGCATAACATGGCCATTTTGTAAGGCAACAAGTGGAATTAACCTGAGGGTGTAAGTGTGCAAGTGTATTTGATTCCATGCATTTTAGTCTTGATTAGGATGATCTATTTGTTAATTTCATGTCTTGCTATACATACCCTAATTACTCGCATTCACATTTAAAAGCGATGAATTGCAGAAATGTAAAGTCCTACGCTATTACAATATTTAGGGGGATGGGGGTACATATTTATGAATGGGGATTGAAAATTAAAATTCTAGGTTACTATTACAACCATATTGAAATAGATAAGAATGTACAGGAAATGTAAAATGTTTGTTTATTTAAGAAAAGAAATAAGTTTTGTTTAAGAAAATATTTTTTGTCTTTTTTTGTTAAAAGTAAATATAATATGTGAATATGAAACATTTTTGGTGTTTTTTGATTAGTGAAAAGTAAAAGTGATGAAATAATAATAAAGGAGAAAGAAAACCAAAATCAGCGTAAATGCATGAGAATTGAAGAGGTCAAAAGTTCTGACTCTGACTTGCTGCACAAACAGAAACAATGTTAGTAGAAATATGGAAGTCCAAAAGTTCTGGATCTTCTGAGGATTTAGAAGTTTTCAGAAGTTCTGATGCAAATGTTAGAACTTTGTCTCTCTCTCCTTGCTAGTCAGAACATCTGCAACTTAGTCATTTCTTAACATAACAGAAGTTGCACATATAACAGTTATAACAAATTTCAAGAAATATCAGAAACACAGATCAGAAGCAACATGAATTTGCTAATCCTAATTCTGAGTCCTAATTTATTTATGAAACTCTGAACTGGAATTCCCTCTATTTAGGCAGACGGATGCATGAAATTTCAGAATATGTACATCATCAGGATCAGAATATCTACATTATATTAAATGTGCAAAATCTGACAATACCTAATTAGTATGATGAGAGTCAGCAAAAAACTTACCTTACAGTTGGAAAAGATTCTGTGAAGTGGAGGTTGATCCTTAACCCTGGTGATGTTCTGAACAACTTCTTCACGTACTCAGTAGGATAGAATTTTGCAACTTCTAGAACAACCAAGGGGTAATATTCTGACTTCTTTGAGGTGGATGGAGAGTGTATGGCAGTAGGTATACAGAAGTTAGGGTAACTTCTAATATGTGAATCAGCAACTGCGTGGATGGCTTTAGTCAAGAAACATTTGAGGAAAAATGGAGTTTGAATGCAAGAATCAGATGCTAAGGTTTTATATTTTTGTGTTTATAGTTTTGTGGATTCTTGGAATTTTTGCAGGGGTTCAAGACTTTTCTTTCTCAAATTTTCTGACCTCTTCTCAATGGCTAATGGTGTTCTATTTATAGGCAAAGGTTTTGTAGTTTGGAGATGTCAAGTGGCGCCAACATCATACGCTAGATGCTGACTTACTCCTGAAGTAAGCTTAAACAAGCATGGTTCAATGCACCAAGTGGGATGATTAGCAGTGCCTAAGCTGGATTCGTCAGCATGAATTAAGGAAAAGTAGAAGCAACGCATGGGCCTAGCATACTTTTTCCCAAAAGTTTGTCTTCCCAAGACAGTAGGGGTACACGTGGGGGAAACCCTTTTGATAAAAACTCAAAAGTGGTTGTGAGCATTAAATGAGTTCCCATGTGAAGTTATGCATCATTGCTTTATTCTGGATCAGAAGTTCTGTTTCAGCATAGCATTCAATCTTCTGATCCTCTTATCTTCTGGCTTCAGCATGTTCTGAAGGATCCCTCAGACTTTCCAATAAGCTTGCAGCATGCTTAGTAACCTTCTTTGATTTAACCTGGAAAACTCTGACTGAACCTTTGTGAAAACTGGTCCAGAAGCTTTGACCAAACTCTGTCTTGAGAATATCCAGAATTTGCTGAGTGTGAACACTGGCCCAGAAGTTCTAAAATTGTCATATTTCTTAAACACTTCGAAAAATTTCTAAATATTTAGAATTAGACTTTTCCAAAGTAAAATTTGACTTTTGAAATTCTTGATGAAACAAACTTCATATTCCAACATGTCTTGATGAAATATGGTTTTTTGATATTTGATTTTGATCCAAAAGTCAAAGTTAGACTTCTCAGTATGCAAATGACCATTTTGCCCTTGTGAATGGTTTGCTTGGAAAAATTGATAATTCAAGGCTTGGAATTGGATGAGAGAAAACTTGAGGATCCAGGGTGATTCCTTGAGAAATGAGAGGGTAGATTTTGGGGTACAACAGCTGCCCCTGTTCATACTTCTTGAACCTGAAGGGTTAGATTGGTGGATCCGCCATTCGTGACTTGAAGGTGAAAGATGTTTGAACACTAGAGTGCTCAGAAATTTGCACTCGAAGATGGATGGTGAATGGGCTTATAGATTCCATTTGGAAGAATTTTGGTAAACGCTAGAAGAAGTATCAACACAAATCTCTTGTTGATTTATACTAAACTTGATGTTTTACCTGCGAGAAAAGGGGATAGTAAAATGCAGATGCTTGCATGATGTTCACTAGATGTGGTATCATGCTAAATGCATATGGTATGTACATGATATTATGTATGAATGTGAAATGTATGTGTGATATGGTGGCAGAACCACTGTTTTAGTAAAATAATGGTTTGCATTTTGCGTTTTTGTTTGCAAAATGTCGCGGTAAGCAAGAGTCGCCACCGACTTTTATTTTATCCAACAGGAAAGGACAAAAGCACAAAAAAAATCCTTTTTCGAGATTTTGAGTACGGGGGGTAGATTATAGAAAGGGAAGGTATTAACACCCTTTATATCCATAGTTTTCTACGGGCGCTTAGGTACTTGCTCATCATTTTAAAAATTTCTTCCGTGTTTGTGCGTTTTGAAAAGTTTTTGTTTTACTTCGTTTTAACCCTTGCTTCTGTCTTCAAGAGTGTTACGAAGTGTTTTTGAAAACTTTGTTTGAAAAGAGTGTAAGCGCGAAAAAAGTTTATTTTGAGCAAGTAACTACTAGCATCTACCTACTCGGAAAAAAAATGTTTCTGTTCTTGTTTCCTTTAGACAGCGTTATCCTACTATTGAGAAATAGGTAGCACCGTCGTTGGAGTTGTAAGGGTCAATTCGTAAGGGACATACGATCACTAAAGCAATGTTAGGACTTCTTAGTAATAACCCTAATGTCTTAAGATCATATTCGAGGCAACATTTCCGAGGCAACCTTTCCGAGACAACATTTCTGAAATAACATTTCCGAACGGGACATTTGATCTTTGTTTAGACAAGAGAGCAACCACTAAAATACCCTATACTTAATGATCATTTACCAAAGGCAACCGAAGTGAGAGTATACCCTAGGAGTGCACATGTGCGAGTCATTTGATTTCAATTATTATCTTTGCACATTTAGGGTTTGCTAACCATTTTAAATTAACATACAGTCTTTTCATGCAATCCTATTATCATACATCTAACAGTTAATATTTGTGAAAATTAAAATGCGAGAAATAAAACTACGCTATTATAAGGCTTCGGGGAGGGGGATTAATTACATAGCCAAAAACCCGTAAAACGATAAATAAAAGAAAAATCCTAATTAAACTATTACATACCATGAGCAGTTACATTAATCTTTGCAAAAAATAATAAATGCGCGCGATGGAACGAGAACGAGAAGAATTAGGGTTTTGACCCCGTCTAGACCTAATTAAAAGAAAAATCATTTTTTGTTGTTTTTGATTATTTTTTGAGAAAAATAAGGTTTTAATTAAATAAATACAAACCTAGTTACTAATTAATTTAATTTGAGAAAAGTAATTAATTTGACCTATTTTTATATTTTTGTTATTTTAAGGAAAGAAAATAAAAATAAAATCAAACAAATCCTAATTTTCTAATTGATTTTAATTTATTTACAAAAAGGTTTAAATTACTCTAAAATTAAATTAAACTAATTATTAAATTAAATTTGATAAAAATAAAACCTAAATCTAAATTGTTGAA